AAAAAAAAAAAAAAAAAAAAAAAAAAAAAAAAAAAAAAAAAACTACTCTGGCATCTTCAACGAAAGAGAGCTCTGGCATCAGCAGAGCTGCTCACAGCCAATCCACTGGCTGGATTGATAGGACCAGAGTTAAATGATAAAATGCTAAATGGACTGTACTTGTTTGGCACTTTTCATGGTCTTCGACCACTGAAAGCGCTTTAACACTACATGTCATCATTCACACACTGATGACAGGAGCTACCATGCAAGGTGTCACCTGCTCATTAGGGCTAACTAACATTCATACATAGGCACAGCTACGGCAGCAATTTGGGGTTAAGTGTCTTGCCCAAGAACACATCGACATGGACTAGCGGAGCCGGGGATCAAACCGCCGTTGTGCTGATTGAAGGACGACCCTGCTCTACCACTGAGCCACAGTCACTCTCTGTTCTCTTTGACAATCTGTTTTCTTTTGCACATCGATACACCGCCCGCCAAGTGTGTGTGTGTGTGTGTGTGTGTGTGTGTGTGTGCAGAGACACAGAGTTACTGCCTCAAGCATCTGTGTGTAGACTTGTTTTTCCAAGTGGCGTGGTACAGAGAAGCAATTCCTCCCTTTAGGGATGTGGTAACACAAGCTCTCCCATCACACAGATTTGTGTGTCCGATTACGTAATCGTGGAATCCAGACGGCATGTGAGGGAAGAGGTGAGGATCCGGGGCTGTATGACTACAACACAGCTAACGGGTAAAGGCAAGACATTTCAAAACAGATTTATCTCAAGCTAGTGGGACCGTAATAATAATAATCCATAGCACAAGCACGTCATCCATTATATAACTTTTAGAGATCCCTGATCATGTTTTTTGCCGCTGTAACTAATTGCACATCATTGATGATCCATATTGGCAGATACAGATCCCTTTGTTGTTTGATTATAGCAGCTGGTCTACAAGGATCCAGGCTTTTTTGCCGCCATCCCAAACATCATTTCAACGACTCTGAAGTCAGTGTAAACCATAAAAAAAATTCTAAATATTATCCTTTTACTTTGTTATAGTCATTTATAGTGGTTTTTCATAAAGGCATACAATTAAAATAATTAGGAAATAAAATATTTTCATTGATTAAAACAAATCTTGTCATTAGTAGTTTTAATGATGTACAATAAGCTGCTTAGAGCTAGTGTAAACAGGTCATAATTCATCTCTAATATCTATTTATGTTGCTATAAAAAGTTCTCCTTTAAACAACTGGATATATTAAAGTTTCTCACCAACACTAAATTTTACGAGATCACATGTGAACACATCATGATAACGTTAACCAATACTCATTTTCACTGCACAGAGCCTGAACGCATCATAATGTAACTGAACAGCCTCGTTACTAGCTCTCCTCCTGTCAATTTAAACACAGATTGGTTGTTTACAATGCAACATCCCGGTAGTCTCGTGTGTAGCTCCTGATTTCTCATTCACTTCACCTGCGATCAATCGCCTGCCCCTGGTTTTTCCCTAGGTCAGGGGTCGGCGAGCCGCATGCGGCTCTTTAGCCTCTCTGTTGCGGCTCCCCGAGGTCCCCAACTGGCGCACCGGATCCGGACCCAGGAACTAAAAACCGATAGATAATTCGGAATTATACATATTGGGCACCGAGTTTAAACTTTAACCGGCGCCTCTTATTCAGCCGTTACGGCACTTGTTCGGCGGTGCAGGAAACACACCGACCAATGCATTGCAAATCACATCACGTGATGCAGCTCAGCCAATCAAACATGAGTATTCTGACAAGTTTCCTGACTTGAGCGAGGTTTACACACATGTGACACACGGGGCTGAGACGAGGAAATAGAAAGAAGAGCAGGGAAATTGCGCTGATAGAAGAAGTTATCTCACATGACTCTCCAAGAAGAGAAACGTGTTCAGAGAGAATATAATTTATAAGCAAGAATGAACAGAATATTATATGTTAATTATTCCCACAGGCAGTTAAATCCTCTACCCCTGTCAAGTGCTTTTCCCTGCAGGTCACTAATCATGATTTTCAGACCCCTGCCCTCTGTAAACTATCAATGGATAAATCCAAAAAAAGAAAAGTCACGGAGGAAAATAAAGAGCTTGACTCTGCGTGGACGTCTTCATTTGATTTCACTGCCAACGATGCTGGCTTACCTGTATGCTTCCAGAACAAACACAGCATATGCTGGAGATGAGCGAAAGAGCGATTTCTCAGCTGCTGCAGAAACTCTCCTCTTCATAAGAGTTTGATATTGTTATAACAGGTAAAATTGCAAAAAAACCTCAAGAAATGTCTTTATTCTTGTTCTATATTTTCATAAATATGAACAAACTATAGTTTTTGTATATATAATATAACTATACAGTATATACAACTTTATAAGCTGTGATATCAAATAGCTTTTGCGGCTCCAGACAAATTTTATTTGGTGGAAAATGGGGCAAAATGGCTCTTTGGATAAAAAAGGTTGCCGACCCCTGGGTGAAGGTGTTCAAAAGAAAAAACGCGCTGGCTCCTCGCTGGGTAGGCCCGTACCAGGTTTTGCTGACCACTCACACTGCAGTGAAGGTAGAAGGGCGGCCTACGTGGATTCACACCTCTCATTGCAAAAGAACGGCAGGACCAGCACCTGAGCCATGATAAAGCTCATCAACAGACCTCAACTAGACGATTGAGGAAGACTACTGGGGTGAACGCCGCCCTAAACTACAGCATCGTGGGACAACCGACAATGCCAAAATGACAACACCAGCAAAGATATGCATCATAAAACCACCCTCCAAGAAAGGGGCCAATCAAGAGACATTGTTAGCTGTACCTGATCGCCCTGTACTAAAACAAATGGTTACACGTACTGTGTTTAATGAACCAAGGTTTACTATGCCCAAAGTGATTATAGGAGTCCTCCGAGGACTTATTTGTGTCGGGTTTATGATAGGAATTGAGTGTCCCCATTTTGTTCACAAATTAACAGGGAAAACCACCCCAGACCAGGTGATATTCGCCTCCCCGGGCGAAGCACATGTGACGGTACCAGCAGGCGAAAGTTATACCACATCTAACTTTCCAGACGTAGTAATTAACACAGGAACCAATAACACATTACCTAGTGAGGTAGAATGGAGTCGCTACTCTGACAAAAGGAAACAAGAAGTAATGATAATTCAGACATATGCCGATGGAACTGTGACGGTTGCTTCATTGGACGATAGGGTATGGTTTGGACACCCACTGACAGGATCATTATTCATACATACAGGAACAGGAGACAAGGTTACCGCACCAGACAGAATTGACGGACTATATTTGGTAGAAAAGGATGCACCAAAGTGAGGGGCTTTTTCAAATTCTCCTGAGCACACCAACCGCTGTCTGCATAGCAGAGAGATCATCTTGGATCCATCTCACACACTGTAAAAAGGTACACCAGTTGTCTACAGAAGACTGCATCACTAACAACTCTTAAAGCAGACACCCAATTCCTCTGTGGTGCAGCCTGGCTACAAATGGAAGTGCAACCAATAGGGACACTTGTCTCAAACCAGTGAAGGTTCGAACCATCAACACCCTGAGGCCTTACCTTGGGCAAGGGTTACCTTTCCCAAATCCTGTCTCACGAGGAAGGCATGGAGGGGGGTTGAACCTTTCCTCTGGTGTTTCTAGAGTATAAATATTCTCGGTTTTAGACAATCGAGCAGTAGTTGGGGAGAGGTCCACCAGGTCTTTACCTGACCTCACTATCAGGCCAGGTGAGTTAGTCATATAGAGATAAAGCTGTTCCTCTGCCTCTCTCCCCCTTCTCGCAGTTTCTTCCCAGCACTAGGGGCACTCACAAGGGGGTGACCGGACTTCGGGATACGCGTCCCTTTGATCCGTGATCACCCCGGCGGCAGACCGAGTCTGCCCGTCGCCGCCGAGGTCCATCAGTTTGCGCACACACTTCTGAGGGATCCTCGTACAGATCTGTTTCCGGTTCAAACAGACCAGCCTCGTTTTATTTTATTTTTAGAACGAGTGGCATCAGAGTGCATGAGAAACAGGATGCCGAGCCAGGTGGGAAGGGAAAGGTAGCTGTCGGAGAACAATCAGTGGAGCTTCCACTGGTGAAGGTTTTAGAGGAAATTAAGTAGGGTTGTGCTAGATGGCTACCATCGGATCCGTTAGGGGACAGGAACCCGATGTTTCCCAGCCCGTTCTCATGCACAACTAAAGGTTAAACCTTTAACTAAAAGGTTAGTTATCCTTTTAGTTAAAGGTTAACTAAAAATGTCTTACATTTACATTTCTAGTTGAAGGTTAACTAAAAATGTCAACAAAGTGTTTTTCTTGCCAATCGGGCGCTGTCCCAGTCGTTTCACTGTTCATAGGGATTAGGCTTGGAAACACAGAGGCCCAGAGGCCTGGGTGATGGCGATAGTGGCGCACTCTAGAGAATAAGTATGTCGTTCACCATGTGGTTGGAACAAAGAGTTGGGCCTACAGGCTAGTCAACTGCCTGATATGAGTTAAATCTCACCTACGTGTGACTTTTGATCCAAACTCAACTCTGGGGTCTCATTGGACGAGGGGGCTTCCTGTGGTGCAGCCCTGCTGTCCCCGAGACTATAAAATTCAGCTTCACCTCCAGCTCTGTGGCGTCAGGTTTGACTGGGTTCTACCCAGATGTGTTCCAGTTCTACCCAGATATGGTCCGATTCTTCCCACAGATGGGGTCCTGTTCTAAAAGTTTAAACTTACTTCCACCTCCTTCCATGGATGCAGTGGGTACTGCTTCTCAAACATGGGGATGAACTCATCGTAGTGCACCTAGAGACAGAGAGACAGGGATTCAACTTCTTATCACAGAGGCTTATAACAGTTAACAACTACACCTTCACATGCAGTTCACATTCACTACACCTACATGCAGTTATATAAATGTAAAAATATATTTAAGCACAATTCTGTTAATTTAGGGTTAAGAAACCCACATTACTCTATCAAACCTTTAAAGAAAATAGCAAAGACAAATATCAAACAAAAGTTATTCCAATAACTTTGTTCAATGCTTAAAATCCTTTCAAGGGTGCGTTTGCACAATCCCACGTGAAGTATTTCATCTGTTGTAAAGCCACGTTTAAAGTAGTCTTCAATGTACTCACAATCCATTTCCACGTCAAATGTAGGGTAACCTATGAAGAGCTGATTCTATGACTGCTGTGTTTAAATATCTCATAACTTCGACTTTCTATCTCATAACTTCGACTTTCTATCTCACAATTTCGACTATGGGGATATTTTTATTATCAAGTCTAACCTTTAACTTTTTTTTTTTTGCTGGCGGATAAAATACGGGCCGGATTCGGGCCTTGACTTTGACACCCCTGCTCTAGGGGGTTGCGGGAGATGCTCCCCTGATAGACAATGTTGTTCACAGGGGGCTCAGAGAAAGAGCGGGTTGTCTTCCAATCAGAAGACCAGCGGTTCTGTCCCGGGCTCATCCAGTCCGCATGTTAAAGTGTCCTTGGGCAAAACACTGAATCCCTCAAATTGATCCCGAAGTATTTATGAGGAATGTAAATGAATGTGAAATCCTCTGCTATCAGTGTATGAATGTGTGTTAATGGGAGAACGATGACATGTAGTCTACAGTGCTTTAAGTGATCGTAAAGCTAGTCCAAGTCCATTTTAAAGTTAACTGCATTCATCTGGTGCACTTTGAGAGCAAATTTAGGAGGCTAGATCTATGAAAAACGTTGTGCTCTTGTAAAAAAGGAGAGGGATCCTCCCACACTGAGCGGCCATTACTGAGACACTGAGTTGAATCCCCCCAGGGCAAACTGCGTGGACTGGCACCACAGTCTAGGTAACTAAGAGGAAACCCTGAGGGCTATAACATGACAATGAGGACCTACAGATTAGTATTATCATCTGGAGCTAATGAGACGAGTGACGAGAAGACAGCACTGTGAGTGAGTGAGAGGAGGCGGGGCTATGTGGGCACTGCAGCGGTGAGTGTGTCAACTGGCTGTCGGAGAGAAGAGAGAGCGAGAAAGAGCAGCCGGTACCAATGTATCAACAGTGTGGAAAATGAGTATTAAATTAAATTTAAGAATCAATATGTACTGAAAACATTTATATTTTTGACAACACTACAACAAGGATACCCAACCAGAGTTGAACCAGGCAAGCTGCGGTTGCGCAGTACGCATCTTTGACCACTATGCCACCAGGACGCTGTATTATTTTAATTTATAAAGCAAAAGCAGACACAACTGACAGTTCCGATTAGAAAAGCTGCAGTAAAGATACAAAGATGTTTACGATATCTCATTCTTTCTGAGACATTCAATTTCATGATCAGTTTGATCTACCAATAAATGAGAACCACAGGGACCAGACCATGTTCTTGTGACCACGGACTGATTTCACAAAATAGATAGTGCTAGGATGTGCCAACATGAAGAACAACAGCAAAAAGGTACTGTACCTGCTTTAGCTCCACACCATCTGTATAGTTCATGACGGTGAAGTGCTTTTGGTAATCATCGAAATGGTCCAAGGAGAAAGGTCTAGATAGAAGAAACAAACATCAGGTCCAGGCAGGCGAAAGAGTTCACTCTCTATATCAGCGGTTCCCAAACTTTTTAGGCCACGCACCCCCTTCTACATCCCGACCGGGTTCACGCACCCGCAATCCCCCACACCTTAAAAAAAGAAAAGCAACAGAGCCTATTTATAGCCACATAAAAATCGGACCAATGAGAGAACAGTTTGCTCGCGCGTGGCGTTTGTTTACAAGATAAAAAACACAAAAAGACAAAAACTTCCTGCACTGTGCCTTCAAAAAGGTAACGGACGTACACCAGAAGATTGGCCAGATTGGCCACATCTGTAGGCTCGTCTACTTGCAGAGAGTAAAACTCACTCTTCTTCATGCGACCGACTTGTGTAGCCGGGATGTCTTCGGACAAAGCATCGATGCGGCGCGACACAGTGTTGTTGGACACCGGGATCATGTCCAACTTGCTTGCTTCTCTCTCTCCAATCATACATTCCACCATCTCTTTGGCAGCTGGCAAGCACACGTCTTCGGCGATTGTGTGAGGTAGCCCCTTTCTTGCTATTCTGTGACCAGATATGAAGCCCGTATTGCTTCATATCACATGAATGAGACTGCAGTTCTTTTGGGCTGTCTCCAGCAGAAACGCGCTCATCCAGGCCGAGCAATGAGGAACATTACGCGGTTACAATACCTCCACAAAGGCCCGCGTGTAAAATCCGGGAGTAACCGTGACTCTCTTAAGGGTTAGGTTTGGGTGGGGACGTGGCTTCCTAGTGGAAGTTATGGTTAGGGTTAGATGGATACAAATAAATAAAATGTACCTCCATAACACCCCGCAACTCTCGGCTCATACCTCCCCAGCAACGAGGCACATCACCCGGCCACAATACCTCCAGAATGTCCCCCGGGTGAAATCCGGGACTTGGTTTTATGGTTCCGAGTGGCGGGCGCTCACCAGTTGGCGCCAGACGCGAGGTCTGTCAGCCCTCGGAACAGGCCGCGGGGCAACAACTTGCGGGTAGAGGCGAGGCAGATCACAGAAAAATAATAAAGACTAGAGTATGGCAAAGATATGTTGATGAGAAACGTATTTGTAATACGTCAAACACAAACTTAATCAGGGAGAAAATACATTTATGGTCAAACGTAATTGAGAATGCATTTTAGTTTTGGGGGAACGTAATTTTTAGGAGACAGGACTGCACCATTAGACTACCATTACATTTTTCCTTTCCACTTTGGGAATCCCTGCTCTATATAAAAACAAATACGTTATCATCACTCCATTCCAAGTCATGTTTAAACTCTTTTCAGAGTTTTACAGACTTTGTATTGTTCATAGACATGGGTCTAACGACATGGGTCTACAGACAACATTTTGGTTGGTCTCTCGTGCCTCTTGGATACCTCTTGGATAAATTGCCATGAAATTTGGTACAGATGTCCATGGCTCCCAGAGGATCTATCCTTATGACTTGGGCGATCCCCTGACTTTTCTTCTACCACAGCCATCAAGTCAAGATTTCAGATCATACAATACTTTGTTATATCTATCTTAATGGTTTGGTTTTCTTTACACTGAGCATCACAGCCTAAGAGTGCCAATATTGTGGCTGTAGACTTAATTTTTGTTGGCCATCTGAAACCACAGATGCAGGACTTTGACCATAACTGTGAGTTCACACCGTTCCATTCCCATTCCAAAACCAACAAATAATGTATTCATCTAAATGAATCTGGGTATACAGAGCGTTTGTATGATGCCCTACAGAAAATATTATATTAAAAAAGATTTCTGTATTTCTGTAAAATCTAGCCCCAACTAGACAATCAGTCAGAAAGAGTCAAAGAGAGATGACCTAAGAGATATTGTCAAGAAAGATTGAAAAAGGATTTCTTTGCATTTAACAAGACAAGGTATTTTAACAACCTGTAATCGGCCATCACAACCCATCCCTATTCATTCATGTATGTATGTGTATGCATATGTATGTCGTACCTATTAGTAAAGCGCAACCAGAAGATGTCGTAGGCATAGAGACGCAGAGGCTGCACAGAGCGCACCATCAGCATGTAACGAATGTCAAACTTCACCATTCCCACCTCCTCTCTGTTGAACAGCACTGGATCTTCAAGGTACTTACACACCACCTTGAGAACAAAGACACACGCACAGAGTTACAAGTAACAACATAATAAAACATCTGTCAGCACTAAAACTAAAGAGGAATAATTCATTTAACGGACAGAGGGCCTCCTGTATCTCTGAAAGTCCACCACCAGCCCTTTGGTCTTTCTGATATTCAACGTCAGGTGATTGTTGTTGCACCATGTGATGAAGCTCTTCATCAGTCCTCCATACTCATCCTCATTGTTTATGTTGATACATCCAACAATGGAGGAGTCATCAGAAAACTTTTAAAAGGTGGCAGGGACCAGAGATAAAGAGTAGGTTGTTATGTCCCATTCTGACCTCAATATTCTCCTTGAGGTTGTTTTTGGCCCCTACTGTAACTATCCAGCTCTATTATCTCAAGGGTGTATTTAATCCATTATCATGTTTTGACAAACTGTGTTCATACCAGAAGGCTCTTGGACAAACATCAGGTCAAGCTGACCACAGCCCTGGCAACAAGTCTATCTTGATGTCCTGTTAATCTGCTCAGTTATAAAAAGCTATGATTAAATTACACACTTTTATATGAGCGCATATTGAAAACACTACTATGGAAAACAGGAGAGAGCCCAGACGGAAGCTAAGCTAACTCAGCTAGGACCCGAGGCTACTCCACTACACAGCCTACCGCTGACGGTCTGATGTCCGTTCCCAGAACAATAACATGGATGAAAGCAGCGGTGTTTACATCAAGCTTGGTGCTTGTTAGGATGCCCGAGCAGCCATGGAGGAAAATGAGCAGATCCGGAGTCCAGAAGAGGTTTCAGATGAAGCTTCGTTTATCAGAATCGGAATCAGCTTTATTGGCCATGTATGCGTGCGCATACATGGAATTTGACTCCGGTTACACATTACTCTCATCGTACATACACACATGAAATATATACAATAAACAAGAGAAATATAAGAAAAACAAGGACATTTAACAGCTACATACAATACAAGTATAAATATATCCCAAAGGAAAGTGTAATATATATACATACATATGTGTAATATATATATACATACACATACATATGTGTAATATATATATACATACACATACATATGTGTAAAGTATATATACATACACATACATATGTGTAATATATATACACACACACATACATATGTGTAATATATATACACACACACATACATATGTGTAATATATATACACACATACATATGTGTAATATACATACATACATACATACATACACACTCCGCGAATCGCCACCTTAACGTGGTGGAGGAGTTTGAGTGGCTCAGTGATCCTGGGAGGTATGTTTTCCGGGGCATTAGCCCCTGGTAGGGTCTCCCAAGGCAAACAGGTCTCAGGGGAGAGCCCAGACTAAGAGCGATTCAAAACGACCCCAATGAAAAGCAGCCCACGGACTTCAGTCACCTCGCCCGGACCAGGGAAACCGGGGCACCCTCCCGGAGCCAGACCCAGGAGGGGAGTTCGTCGGCGAGCGTCTGGTGGCCGGGCCCTTCGCCCATGGGGCCTGGTCGGGCTCAGCCCGAATAAACAGCATGGAGCAGCCACCCTGTGGACCCACCACCTGCAGGGATAAGCATCGGGGTCGGGTGCAATGCAGACCGGGCGGCGGGTCAGGCGGGAGGCCTGGGCGAGCCGATCGCCGGCAGCATGGACTAGCTCTAGGGACGTGGAACGTCACCTCGCTAGCGGGGAAAGAGCCGGAGCTGGTGCAGGAGGTGGAGCGGTACCAGCTAGATATAGTTGGACTCACCTCCACACACAGCGCTGGCTCTGGAACCAAGCTCCTGGAGAGGGGTTGGACTTTGTCCTTTTCCGGAGTTGCCCAGGGTGAGAGGCGCCGGGCGGGAGTGGGGATACTCATGAGCCCCCGGCTGAGCGCCATTGTGTTGGAGTTCTCCCCGGAGAACGAGAGGGTCGCCTCCATGCACCTACGGGTTGCGGGGAGCAAGGCTCTGACTGTGGTTTGTGCTTATGCACCAAACAGCAGTTCGGAGTATCCGGCCTTCTTGGAGTCAGTGGGAGGGGTCCTGGAAAGGGCGCCGCCTACCGACTCCATAGTTCTCCTGGGGGACTTCAACGCTTACGTGGGCAATGACGGAGAAACCTGGCAGGGGGTGATTGGGAGGAACGGCTTGCCCGATCTGAACCCGAATGGTGTTTTGTTATTGGACTTCTGTGCGTGCCATGGTTTGGCCATAATGAACACCATGTTCGAACATAAGGTGGCTCATAAGTGTACATGGTACCAGAACACCTTAGGCCGGAGATCAATGATCGACTTTGTAATCGTATCATTTGATTTGCGGCCGTATGTCTTGGACACTCGGGTGAAGAGAGGAGCAGAGCTGTCAACTGATCACCACCTGGTGGTGAGTTGGATCAGATGGCAGGGGAACCGGTTGGAAAGACCCGGCAAGCCCAAACGTGTAGTGAGGGTGAACTGGGAACGTCTGGCGGAGGACCCTGTCCGGGAGGTCTTTAACTCCCACCTCCGGAAGAACTTCTCACACATCCCGAGGGAGGTTGGGGACATGGAATCCGAATGGACCATGTTGAAAGCCTCAATTGTGGATGCGGCCGCTAGGAGCTGTGGCCGGAAGGTCATCGGTGCCTGTCGTGGCAGCAACCCGAGAACCCGGTGGTGGACACCGGAGGTGAGGGAAGCCGTCAAGCTGAAGGAGACCTTCAAGGCCTGGTTGGCCCAGGGGTCTCCCGAAGCAGCTAACAGGTACCGGCAGGCCAGAAGGGCTGCAGCTGCGGTGGTCGCGAATGCTAAAACTCGGGCATGGGAGGAGCTTGGGGAGGCCATGGAGAAGGACTTTCGGTTGGCCTCAAGGAGGTTCTGGCAAACCATCCGACGACTCAGGAAGAGGGAAAGCAGGGCTTACCCCAGGCTGTTCTCAGCAGGGGGGGGGAACTGCTCCCCCGGACAGGGGACATCGTCGGGCGGTGGAAAGAGCACTTTGAGGAACTCCTAAACCCGACCAACATGTCCTCTGCAGAGGAGGCAGCGCCTGAAGATCTACGGGGAGGCTCAAAAAGCTCCTCGGTGGCAAGGCGCCGGGGGTGGATGAGATCCGCCCTGAGATGCTGAAAGCGCTGGACATAGTTGGGCTGTCCTGGCTGACACGCCTCTTCAATGTCGCATGGGGGTCGGGATCAGTGCCCATGGACTGGCAGACCGGGGTGGTGGTTCCCATTTTCAAAAAGGGGGACCGGAGAGTGTGCTCGAATTACCGGGGTATCACACTACTCAGCCTCCCGGGGAAGGCTTATGCCAGGGTGCTGGAAAGGAGGCTCCGACCGCTTGTCGAACCTCGGATTCAAGAGGAGCAGTGCGGATTCTGTCCCAGCCGTGGAACAGTTGACCAGCTCTTTACCCTCGCAAGACTACTGGAGGGGTTCTGGGAGTTTGCCCAACCAGTCTACATGTGCTTTGTGGACTTGGAGAAGGCTTTCGGCCGGGTCCCTCGGGGTTCTTATGGGGATGCTGCGGGAGTATGGGGTGCCGGACCCATTACAACGGGCGATCCGGTCTCTGTATGAATGCAGTAGGAGCTGTGTCCGCATTCTCGGCAATAAGTCAGACACGTTCCCGGTGGGTGTTGGCCTCCGCCAGGACTGCCCTTTGTCTCCGGTCCTGTTCGTGACTTTCACGGACAGGATATCTAGGCGCAGCCGGGGGGTGGAGAACGTCAGGTTCGGGGGTCTCGGGATCGCCTCTCTGCTGTTTGCAGATGATGTGGTCCTGTTAGCCTCCTCGGATCGTGACCTCCAGCATTCACTGGGGCGGTTTGCAGCCGAGTGTGAAGCGGCGGGGATGAGAGTTAGCACCTCCAAATCTGAGGCCATGGTGCTCTGCCGGAAACCGGTGGATTGCTCCCTCCAGGTGGGGACGGAGTGCCTACCTCAAGCGAAGGAGTTCAAGTATCTCGGGAGATCGTCAGACGGATCGGTGCAGCTGCAGCAGTAAAGCAGGCGCTGCACCGGACCGTCTTGGTGAAGAGGGAGCTGAGCCGGAAGGCAAAGCTCTTAATTTACCACTCGGTCTACGTTCCTACCCTCACCTATGGTCACGAACTCTGGGTCGTGACCAAAAGGACAAGGTCGCGGCTACAAGTGGCCGAAATGAGCTTCCTCCGTAGGGTGGCCGGGCTCAGCCTTAGAGATAGGATAAGGAGCTCGGTCATCAGGAGGGAGCTTGGAGTCGAGCCGCTACTTCTTCGTGTCGAAAGGAGTCAGCTGAGGTGGTTCGGGCATCTAATTAGGATGCCTCCTGGATGCCTCCCACTGGAGATTTTGCAGGCACGTCCAGCTGGGAAGAGACCCCGGGGAAGACCCAGAACACGCTGGAGGGATTACATCTCCCAGCTGGCCTGGGAACGCCTTGGGATCCCCCAGAATGAGCTGGAACATGTTGCCGGTGAGAGGGAAGTCTGGGTCAGCCTGCTTGGCCTGTTGCCACCGCGACCCCGGATAAGCGGAGGAAAATGGATGGATGGATGGACATACACACACACATACATACAGGTGCTGGTCATATAATTAGAATATCATCAAAAAGTTGATTTATTTCACTAATTCCATTCAAAAAGTGAAACTTGTCTATTATATTCATTCATTACACACAGACTGATATATTTCAAATGTTTATTTCTTTTAATTTTGATGATTTTAACTGACAACTAAGGAAAATCCCAAATTCAGTATCTCAGAAAATTAGAATATTGTGAAAAGGTTCAATATTGAAGACACCCGGTGCCACACTCTAATCAGCTAATTAACTCAAAACACCTGCAAAGGCCTTTAAATGGTCTCTCAGTCTAGTTCTGTAGGCTACACAATCATGGGGAAGACTGCTGACTTGACAGTTGTCCAAAAGACGACCCTTGACACCTTGCACAAGGAGGGCAAGACACAAAAGGTCATTGCAAAAGAGGCTGGCTGTTCACAGAGCTCTGTGTCCAAGCACATTAATAGAGAGGCGAA